TAACTACCAGAAGACTGTTGAAGAAGCTAAACGAGGATATTTGTCAAATATTATTGTATCTAACAGTCACAAACCGCGTGTTCTGTTTAAAGTAATTGGGTCTGTGTTGGACCCTCCACAGCCTACCTGTATAGAAGCATCAGTTGAGATGTGTGATTGTTTTCTACAGTTTTTTAATGAGAAGGTTGCCACTATAAGGGCTTTTGTTCCAGCTCCTGTGTTAGATCCTTCTGACTGCGCCCCTTGTCTGGCTGTTTTTGATACATTTGAGGCTGTGACTCTCCCGTTTTTGGAGGAGGTGGTTAGCCAGGTTAAGCCATCTGGCTCCCCTAGAGATGCTATTCCCCCGTCCTTATTTAAGGAGGTCTTTCCTTGCATAGGAATGTTGGTTCTGGCTATTATTAATAGCAGTGTGTCCTCTGGTGTTGTCCCTGGACAGTATAAGCATGCGGTCGTGCAGCCGCTGCTTAAGAAGCCAGGTCTTGATCCTTCTATTTTGAGTAATTTTAGGCCAATCTCTAAGTTATCTTTTATTACGAAAATTTTAGAGAAAGTGGTTTTTATACAGTTGAAATCCTTTTTAGATAAGCAAAATGTATTGGAGATTTTTCAATCTGGTTTTAAATCTCGGCATAGTACAGAGTCCGCATTATTAAAGGTTTTTAACGACATCTACTTGGCAACAGATGCAGGTGGCTATGTGGCTATTGTCTTGTTGGATCTGACGTCTGCTTTTGACACGGTTGACCACGACATCCTAATATCTCAACTTGAGGAGTTAGTGGGCATCCGTGGTACTGCCTTGAAGTGGTTTAGGTCTTATCTGTTGGATAGGACGATGTCTGTTCGTGTTGCTGATGCTGAGTCCTCGTCTACCCTGTTGGTATCTGGGGTTCCGCAGGGCTCCGCTTTGGGGGCTACGGACCTAGTAGATACAATGGAGAAGCTCAACAGTTCGGTGCTAAAACTGACCAGTAAACTCTTGTGCTAATGTTTCTCTGAAGGAGAAGCTGGCACACTGTAATCCCAGAATTTGGTTTTAATTAAACCTTTGAGTGATCATTAATTATTCTTTTGTGTTTTGAAAGCCATCTCATTACTAAATCACATTAGTGGTTTGCACTACTCAGCTGAAATATACAATGATCATGTTAAGTGGAGAAAACCTAACAGAGCTGAGCACAGAGTCCTATCTCTTCAGTTAATAAAGTACTGTACACATAAATTTAAGATCTGTCAGAAGTTCAGACCTCAAAATTGCATTCTCACTAAAGACGTTTGGTGTACACTGGAAAACATGAGTTTTGGTCATTTCATGTTAATTCAACTTAAGAATGTAAAAAGAAAATTTCAGACCACTAAACCAATTACTTCCTCTTGGCTCTATTTTCAGGAAGCATTATGCGGATGATGTACAGATGTATTTGCCACTGAGGGGAAGGGACGCATCATCAGTTGCATCACTATTGTCATGTTTTGATGACGTTAGGAAGTGGATGACCTTACACTTATTGAATTTGAATGATACGAAGACCGAGGTTATAGTGTTTGGTCCAAATAACTCCCCCCAGTTGATTTCAGTTCCTTGGAATGGTACGTGCGGTCCACCGTTACTAACCTTGATGTTAAAATAGACTCTGTTCTTAGAATGGAATGTCAGGTGAATGCAGTTGTACAGGCCAGTTTTTATCACCTCTGGCAACTGGCAAAGGTGAAGCCCTTTCTTTCACGGCAGCATTTTGAGACGGTAATACATGCATTTATTACGTCTCGTGTGGATTATTGTAATGCACTATATTTTGGGCTCAGTCAGGTCGCCCTTGCCCGCCTCAGGGACTCCAAAATGCTGCTGCTCGTCTATTGGTTGGAGGGCGTAAAAGTGACCACATCACACCCATTTTGGCTTCCCTGCATTGGCTGCCGGTGTGTTTT